TACTCTACACACTCTTCTCTACACACACACACACACACACACACACACACACACACACATATTATATATATATATATATATATATATATAAATGTATGTATGTATATTTATCCTCCACTGTGTGTCATTATAGGTACATGCGTGATCCAACTGAATAGCTGCGCTCATTGACTGGAAGTACTGGATAGAATCCAGAGCATACTCTCATGTTTTGCCAATTTGATTTTGGAATTTGATTTTGGAATTTGATTTCGAATTTCGTTGAACCGCAAGTGCAGATGGGACAGCCAAAACGCAGAATCGGGACAATGCTAATTCTGGAACGGCAAATGGATATGCTCACGCCACTCCTACAAGCGGAGACACTGGAAGGTCTTGTAGACCACTTCATAGGCATAAAATTAGGTATGTCGAAGTTTTAGGTTTGGCATCGACATAAAAATTAGGACCGCTCGAATCCAATTTTTCAGAGGCATTGTACCGTGAAGCATGTAAGTTCACCTGGAATTTGCAAACAGGCCTTAGTTGCGACCACTATGGCAGACTGAGGGACAGAGTCGCAAGCATAAAAACACGCCCATCACAGTCAGACTGTACTAGTAAATACCATCGCAGTCTGACTGCACTAGGCAATACCATCACAGTCTGACTGTACTAGTAAATACCATCACAGTCTGACTGTACTAGGCAATACCATCACAGTCTGACTGTACTAGTAAATACCATCACAGTCTGACTGTACTAGGCAATACCATCACAGCCTGACTGTACTAGGCAATACATATTGGAGAGGTCAAGAACATTGCTGGTCGAAAGCCCGCACCTACTTTGTATGTGCGGATGGATACAATAAGCATATTGATAAGTATAGTTTTGAGCATATTAATAAGCATATGATTAAGCATATTAATATACACTAAGTATATTAACAAATATAATATTAAACACATTAACAAGCACAATAATATGTATATGTATAAGCAGATCAATAAGTATATTAATAAGTATAATGTTGAGCACATTAACAAGCACATTAATAAAATTTGCATATTAATAAGCATAACAATAAGTATATTAATATGTACAATGTTAAGCACATTAACAAGCACATTAATAAGCATATTAATTTGCATATTAATAAGCATATCAATAAGCATATTAATAAGCATATCAATAAGTACATTAATAAAGCATATTAATAAGTATAGTATTGAGCAAATTTACAAGCACATTAATAAGCACATCGATTAGCGTATTAACAAGCAAACTAAGTTTATTTTCTCGGCAGATATCCGATTTCTTTGTCTGTTTGTGCGGACTGTGTGCATGGTGTAGTTCAGTCATGCCCTGTAGAGTTCTGCTTCTGCACGTGTGTGGTGTGGACACCAGAGGCTATGCATAGACATAGCCTGCTTCATCACCCAGTACTGGGGCGCCAGTGCACAGCCGTGTGTGAGTATCCTCGAATGAGAAAAACCCTAAAACCCTAAAGCATAGCTCATGTCGAGCAACGCTTCTGTTTAAGTACTCAATCCTTCGCTCTTTGTGTGGTGTTGTGTAGGTATATTTGAGTTGGCCTTCATATCACCTAAACCCTAGAAGCCCTGTTGCTTGAGTACTCACTCCTTCTCTCGTTGTTTGGTGTTGTGTAGGTATATTCGAGTTGGCCTCCATATCACCTAGACCCTAGAAGCCCTGTTGCTTGAGTACTCACTCCTTCTCTCGTTGTTTGGTGTTGTGTAGGTATAGTTGAGTTGGCCTCCATATCACCTAAACCCTAGAAGCCCTGTTGCTTGAGTACTCACTCCTTCTCTCGTTGTGTGGTGTTGTGTAGGTATAGTTGAGTTGGCCTCCATAGAAGGGCCGCCCATCTCACTCGCGTCGTTGGGGGTAAGTAAGGTTTCGCTTACGTGTGATGAAGCGTATAGTAGTTGTGTGGAGTTATATCGGACTATTCATGATAGTACAAGTACTACCTACTATTCTACCTACTACTACACAAGTACTACCTACTACTACACAAGTAGATATT